AATGGTTTTTATGTGCTTTCTTTAGACAAACAAGTTTATAATGTAAATAATACTAACAAAAGAGCTAATACCATGGAGTCAAATCAAACTTACTTGGGGCATTGTCGTCTTGTCCATATTAACATCAAACGCATCAAGAAGATTCTTCAAGAAGGCGTTCTAGACTCTTTCAATTTAGAATCTTTTGAGAATTGCGAAGGGTGTTTATTAGGCAAGATGATAAAACAACCATTCTCCAAGTTGGGAGAAAGATCAGGTGACTTATTAGGTCTAATACATACCGATGTATGTGGACTAATGAGCTCCGCCACAAGAAACGGACATCGATATTTCATCACTTTCACAGACGACTATAGTAGATTTGGCAATTTCTACCTAATGTCACACAAATATGAATCATTTGACAAGTTCAAAGAATTTCAGAGTGAAATGGAAAATCAGCTTGGCAAGAAAATCAAAGCCCTTCGATCGGATCGAGGTGGTGAATACTTGAGCTAAGAATTCGATGACCATCTGAAAGATCATGGCATACTTTCAGAACTGACACCTCCAGGAACTCCACAATGGAACGGAGTATCCGAACGGAAAAATCGAACCTTATTACACATGGTACGATCAACCATGGGTCTTAGTGATCTTCCTATCTTTTTCTGGGGACACACACTTTTAACTGCGGCACTAACACAGAACCGTGCTCCATCGAAAGCTGTAGAAAAGACTCCATACAAACTATGGACGAACAAACCTCCTAGGTTGACTTTTCTACAGATATGGGATGCGAAGCATATGTCAAGAAATTGATTTTTGACAAACTTCATCCCAAATCTGATAAGGTTTACTTTGTAGGCTACCTATTAGAAACCAAAGGGTATTACTTCTACAACAAATCGAAGAACAAAGTATTTGTTGCTCGTGATGGTGTCTTTTTGGAGAAGGAGCACCTTTCCAAAATGACAAGTAGGAGGAAAATCAAACTCGACGAAGTTCGTGAGGATGAGCAACAAAATCAAAATGACAGTCAAAGTGCTCAAGTAGCATCTATTGAGGAAGGTCAAAATATGCAAAGTCGAATCGATAATGCAAATGCTCAGTCCATTACCCTACGTAGGTCTTAGAGGCCGAGATCTCAACCTAATAGATATCTTGGTTTGTTTTTAACCGAGAATTAGGAAATCCTAATCATGGATGGAGATGAACCGGCAACCTACAAGCAAGCAATGGAAAGCACCGACTCTGCTAAATGGCAAGAGGTCATGAGATCTTAAATGGATTCCATGTTTGAAAATCAAGTCTGGGACTTGGTTGACTTACTTGAAGGCTACACACCTATCGGATGTAAGTGGATTTTCAAGTTGAAAACCGACAAAGATGGAAATGTATTCACTTACAACGCTAGATTAGTAGCAAAAGGTTACAGACAAGTTCATGGTATTGATTACGATGAAACCGTTTCTCCAGTCGCAATGCTTAAATCCGTTCGGATCCTCCTAGCGATTGCTGCATATTACAATTATGAAATATAGCAGATAGACGTTAAAATCGCCTTCCTAAATGGTATTTTGGAATAAACTGTGTATATGACACAACCTGAATGTTTTGTCGACCAAAACAACGTTGGAAAGGTATGCAAGCTTAAGAAGTTCATTTATGGATTAAAGCAAGCAAGCAGAAGTTGGAATCTGCGATTTGATGAAGCCATTAGTAAGTTTGGTTTTATCAAGAATCCAGATGAGTCTTGTGTTTACAAGAAGGTTAGTGGGAGTGACATCGCCTTCCTAGTCTTATATGTCGATGACATTTTGCTCACTGGAAAAAGAATTCCATTGGAAAAATCCTTGTGATAGACAACAGTTTTTGCGGTATTTGTTTTTATCATATCTTTTGATCCATAAATCGGAATAAGATAAATAAGATATATTTGGAAAGATCTTGAAGCCTAGTTTCTAACCCAATTGGAATAAGATCAAAATTTTTTATATAACAAAATATATATCTGAAATAGTGAGACGATGTCAGTTTTGGATAGAGTTTGACATTTTATTCATATCTTTTCCGTTATAGCTCGGAATTGATATTATAATATATCATTGGAAAGATAATTTCAAGGGATATCTAATCATATAAAATTTTGATAAAAACTATGAGGCACAAAAATAATATCTTTCTATCTTTGAACGTCTTTCAATTTGGATAGAAATAGGATTTTTAAAAAGAAAAGTTTTATTCAATTTCAAACTCTTTAATCTTATCTTTTCAAAACGGGTTATTAAGATCTTTTTGAATTTTATATAAGCTTCCAATTAATCCTAATTGGTTTAGGAATGGGATTAAATAATTTGGAGCCTCCACATGATCATTGGGTCGTAGGTAAGGTGGGCTTAGGTTCGGTTTGGGCTCAGTTTAATATTTTGGCCATAACTTATTCGTTAAAACTCGGATTTGGGCTTATAATATATCGTTGGAAAGCTATTTTCAATCCCCATCCAATTATTAAATCATTGGACCCTGATTATAGACCAAAATAAACTGGGTTAAACGTTTTTATAAAAAGGACACGAAATGAATGATTTTAAAGGACACGAAATGAATTATTTTGGTTTAAATGCACGAAAAAAGTAAATTAAGTTATGGTTTGGGGAAATTGGCTAGGAATTGGGTTGGTTTATGAAATGGAAATATGGATTTAAGCACTCCAAGATTAAATACTCAACCCGACCAATAATGGCGGTGAAAGGTTGTTCATCATCGGGTTTGGTTTTGGGGAGACATTTTTAGGTGTCTACAATGACCAATTGAGATTAGTGTGTAGTTTGATTTATAACACCGCTACATGTGCTAAAAGGACATGATTGTCATGAATCATTTGCACAGGTATTGGTTTAGAACCATACTGAATATGAGAATACTTTAAGAGATTAAAAAAAGGTCATAAGTATACTTCTTATTATTGCTATCGGAACCTTTTTCCTTGACCATGAGTATTGTGAACTTTCTTGTCTGAGTACTAGTCCGCTTTCATGATTGTCAAACGTCTGCCGTAACAGGGAATTATAACAGCATCACTCGGGTGACTAGGTCCTCTTATAAAGAGAAGCTACATTACAAGACTGGAAATGTCCCCCTTTTAAAATTAAGGAAGGTGTCTTTGTTGTTTATAAGGCCTCTCATAGAGCAAGACTGCTAAAATGCATGGCCGTCCTCGGATGGATTTTAGAAATCATCTGTTTATTGACGGTCGGATTCGGAATCGAGAAACACTTTTGGACGTAATAAGGATAACAAAATTATCGGACCTTATAGTTCATGAAGAGGCATTAAGCGACATAAGAAAAGGCTATACACTAAAAGCACACTTGTCCGGAAGGACACGTGGGAGATTGAAAGGAATAGTGTCCTTTGAACTAGTGTATTATTTTGATAGTGGGTTTAGAATTATTAGAAAGCTAATATTCAGTAAGGTCAAGTGATCGGAACGCCTGGGTGAAGGCCGCTTCCGATCAGTAATATTAATGCATAATTAATATTACAGCTTAATCTTGACTGAACCCTTCGGGTCACACCCAAGTGATTAACGAACCGACACGACAAATTAATTCTGAAGGAATTAATGAGTCGCCTAAGTAATAAATATTTAGACGTCGGAAATTCGAGCTTAGAGCGTCGGAAAGACGAGACGGTAAAACGATAATAAATCAACAATGACCAAAATACCCCTAGCATCGAAACACCGAGTGCTAGGGGGTTAGCCAAGCTAGCAGCCCGCACCAAGTGCGAGGCTTGCTAGCAAGCTGCGGCCAGCAGCCCGCACTTAATGCGTGGCGTAATGGCGCGCTGCGGCTAGCAGCCCGCACTATGTGTGAGGTGTGCTAGCAGCAGCCCTCGGCAGCAGCATCCCGTCTTGGTGCGGGGCTTGGCTGGGCCGTGTAGCAAGCAGCGACAGCATGTGGGAAGCCCACATGAGTGGGTTGGAGGGAGGTGCCAAGTGGCGCAAGGTGAGGGAGAGAGTGGGGAGCAAGTTTGGTCCCCCTTCTCCAAGTGGTCCTCACCTAATCCCTCATATGTAGCTGACACTTGTTGATTTATTACTAGCTTGCTTAAATAATTTTATTTTGCTTTTAAATTAAAATGTGAAAATCCCACTATCCCACATTGGTGGGAGAGACAATCATACTCTCATCATTTCCTATAAATAGCCAAGTAAGGGCATTGGAAATGATGCTTGAGTAAGAGTTGTAAAGGGCATCACTAGTAAGTGAAAACCCTTGAACTCAAGAGTTGGAAAGGTATCACATTTAGTGAAAGCCTTTGAACTCAATTACTCGGGTTTTTTTGGTCCGATCTTGCTAATCCCAAGACATCGGACTTTGTCGGTATTCGTTGGTGCGGGTGGATCAACGTTGGAGGCTTCATGTTTTCGAAGCTAGCTTTCAAGTAAGAGCCCATTCGGTCGGGCGAAGCACGCTCCAAAAGGTAATCGTTTTATCTTAATCTTGTGATTAATTTAATTATATTTATGGTTTCATTTATTACGAGTGCGGTCTTGTTTTTGGGTTTGGTGGGTTTGTTTTCGTGGTGAGTCGGACTCACCGAACCCAAACAAATTATTATTAATATTAATAATTATTTAAAAAAAATTTAATATTAATAATTATTATAATTATTCAAAATAATAAATTATTATCATCAATACAATATTAATTATTATTATTATTGAATATTAATTATTTTTGTTATTTGAAAATAGAGCAGAGTAGAGCAGAGCAGGGCTGGGCTGAGCTCAGTAGAGTAGAGCAGATATAAAGAACATGGCCTAAGTAACGACGTTAGGGTAAGAAGTAGAAGTCATTTTCGACGTGGCTAAGGTGTACGGTCATCAAGAAATAAGGGCAGAGTCAGCAAATGAAAACGGGTTTGAGTTACGATAGTACCCTTACGTAAGGGGTGAAATGACGGTTTTAACCCGATGAGGCGATGATAAACGAAATAAGTTTATCACGAAGATCAACAACTCAACAAGTGTTTTCCCTTGTGCGATCATAATCACTGCTCTCTTCTTCTTTTGCACCAAAAAAATACATATATTCACTTTCTTCCTCCCCATCCCCGAGCATTCTGATCTCGAGATCTATCATCAATGGCGGCACCAGATCTTCTGTTCAGTCTACGGAATAATTTCTACTTGGGAGCTTACCAATCAGCCATCAACAATAGCGACATCCCCAATCTTTCTCCTGAAGATGCAATCGAAAGAGATTGTTTCGTTTACAGATCATACATTGCTCTTGGCAGCCACCAACTTGTCATCAATGAAATTGATTCTTCTGCTGCCACTCCTCTTCAAGCCGTCAAACTTCTCGCTTTCTATCTTTCATCTCCCGATAATAAGGTCCCTTTTCTCAGATCTCGCCAATTTTCATCTTCTTTTTTCTTATTATCGATAATTTCTTGTTCTAATTGCAACTAGATTAGTGCTAATATTTCGTAATTCATGTTTTCAATTGCTGTAATCTAAAGGGTATTACACAATCGTAAGGTTCGTTTTGATGGACCAAAGAATTGATTTGATTTTTGTAGCGTTTTAAATCTTAGCAGTTGGGATCTCAATTTTGTCGAATTTTGAATTACTGATACTATGATAAGGGATGTATAGATGTTAATTACCGTGAAATGGGTTGATATGATTGCAGGAATCGGCGATTTCGAGTTTAAAGGAGTGGTTAGCGGATTCTGCCGTTGGAAACATGCCGACCTTGAGGCTTGTTGCTGGTATTATATTTATGCATGAACAAGATTACAGTGAAGCTTTGAAGCATACTCATGCTGGAGGAACTATGGAATTGTTAGTATTCCCACATTCTAAGTTGCGTGTCATTAGCTTAATATATTAGAGGTTATAGGGTCATACCATTATAGCCACACTGGCTTTGTTATTTCTCCTAAAAACCTTATGCTAAAATGAGTTATATTGTAGAGGTGATCATTTGCGGGCTTTGGCGGGTAGCGGGCCAGGCTTATTCTTAATTTTTTGTTCAACGGGCTTTATGTAGCAAACCTGAACCCTTTAAAGTATATTGGCATTTGTTGTCGGTAAGTTGAACAAATTACTTTTGCAGAAACTTATGTGTAGAGGTGAAAAACAAAGCTGGGCTATTGCTTATAAGTTATAACTGAATGCTCCAATTTCATGTTAATGTGGCTTAGATCGGAATATGTTTGATTTATGCTTGATTAGAGACAAATCAACGTCTGTGTGCTATTATTATGATTCCTTGTTAACACTAAAAATGAAAAAGATGTAGGACTTTTTATGTGTATGGTTTCGCTGTTACTATATGCTGAATATAATGGAAACATTGCACATACTCTTGGCAAGTCTTATTTGGTTGTGTGAAAGATGTTTTCCTGTATCCTGAGGTTTGCTTCCTCTCTCACTGTCTTACACAGGCATGGATTGAATGTCCAAATATATATCAAGATGCATAGATCAGAGCATGCAGATAAACAGTTAAAGATTATGCAACAAGTTGATGAGGACCACACATTGACTCAACTTGCTAATGCCTGGCTAAATTTGGCAGTGGTAAATGCAGCTGTTTTTCTGTTCCTCTTCCAGGTACATGAGATGACCGCTAAAGATGCGTTTTCTTTGTTATAGGGGGGTTCCAAGATACAGGAGGCATATCTCATCTTCCAGGATTTCTCTGAGAAGTATTCAATGACTGGATTGATCCTGAATGGCAAGGCTGTCTGTTGTATGCATATGGGAAATTTTGATGAAGCAGAATCACTGTTACTTGAAGCTTTGAACAAGGTAAATTGTTTGAATTACTTAAAAGATTGTGGGTATTGAGACTATTGACCATTTGGTTTGGTTGTATGAGTGGTAATGATTCTGACATCTTGTAAAGATTTTCTGAATTTTTATTGGAACTTGTCTATATTTTAAATATATTACTGTAGGTTGTCGTTTCCTCTTATAAACTGGAACATGACTAGTATAAACCCTATTTGATTAGAAGCTTGGGCATGTTAAGATATATGAGTGTTGCCTCTAAGTAGTGGATAGTATCATCAATCAAGGGTGCTTTTTGATATGACTTATTAAATTAGGAAACGATTCATATGAGATACGGAGGCTATAATTGGGTCAACATTAGATAACTTTTGACTTTAATTGTTATTATTAGTATACAAATTAGACATAATAAGTTCAGTGTTCTCTTAATTATTCATCATTTAGGTAACCATAATCAGCTTTAAGTTCACTTAAATTAAATGCCACATCATCATAAGATAAAAAATTTGCTTTAATAAAATTTGCCTTCCTTACTGTGTTCTTGCTATCATCTAAATGTGTTCTTTTGAATTTCTGAATAAATGGACAGACCATTATCTTCCCAAGCCAGGTTTAAAACTGTAAAATAACAGTCAGAAATCATGATTTTCACATTTTGAACATTAGATCACAAATGCCGCTGCTAGGAGCTGTTGTTAAGGTTTAGGTTTTGACATTGGCAAATGGATAGATTGATCAACAATGGATGTTTTAATGAAACCAAGTTAATGCATCTGTTTCAACTTTATAACCTTTTGGAACTCTCTTTCCTATACAGCTGCTACCACATCAATGTTACCTTAGTTTGTTCTTCTGCTCGTTACTTCTGTAAAGTGCTGTGTTTCATTCGCTTGATGATCTCAGGCATTCAAATCTTATGCTAAATGGTCCTAAAATAATCTGTTAAGTGTTAAGAATTCATCAAGACTAATACTCCACAATCTACGTTCTTTTTGCATTTTTCTCTTGATCATCAGTGCTCTCCTATCATACACCAAGTGATACAAGAGCATCTATTTTATGTTCGTAGAACAAAATACCAATAAGAATCATGTGCCAAATAGGTAACCTCCAATTACAAGGTTTTTGTGCCGATTGTTTGATTAAATCCATGGGGGGTACATGGGAAGTTTTGGATAACAAAAGGTATACTGCTCCTTTAGTCTTTCATTCTTGGGAAACATGTTGACTCTATCATGGAAATTGTTCTGGTCCACAGAAATACCTGATAACAGATTGTTTAACTTGTGTCTGATGAAGGATGCAAAGGATGCTGAAACATTGTCAAATTTGGTTGTGTGCTGTCTTCACCTTAGCAAGCCAACAACCCGATACCTGAGGTAATGACTAATCGCGTAATCCACTGCATTGTTATACTTGGCCTTTGTTACAAAAAACTTTAATATATTTTGTGGTTGTGATATTATGTTACTTAAGTAGTGCAGTATATAACTATGTATCACATTTTTGTACTTAAATTCTCTTGCTGCTCTTGGTAGTCTTGGTAGTTGGTTCTAACTTCTTTACTGGACTATGGGTTTTACTTCTATGCCTCAAAAGCTACTTTTGGTTGTATGTTTCATGTAGAGCAATGGTAAAAAACCAAGAGTAAGAACCATCAGAGTGTAGGGATAATTAACTTCGTTCTCTGAATGACACTGCCATTTTATATGTTTTTTTACCTGTGCCAAGAACCAAAGCTGTTTATAGCCTTGTGAATTATAAAAGTTGCAAGACTATCTTAATCATCCTAGAGTTATTACCTCATCTCAGAATAGGTTTAACATGCCCTGCGTGCTGCATATGCCAGACTTTCTTTCCTTAATTCTGTTTTCAAAATCCTTGTAGACGTAGTAGCAATAATGATCATCTTTTTATAAAAAAAATAGAAATAAAGTTCCTTTCCATGTTTTATTTGATAAAATTTTGGTTTTTCAATTAGACATCGGTATGTGTTAAATCATCTGGGAAGGTCAGAAGGTTCACTTAATATGCTGCACTGTGTCTCATTCCAGATTCATGATTTCTAGCCTAAGATTATTTTACTACTTTTAGCGTTGATGATGTTGAATCATTGCCCCTGAAGTCTTTTCGATTATATAAGATTATAAGACATGATCTTTCATTTGTACCCATTTTTTGCAAATTCAATACAAATAGTAGTCTCACGTCCTTTATGTGTCCTATGCTATGTATTGTTGCCATTTTTGTTTTAGCAATATAATAATTTTGATCCTGTGCTTAATTATTGCATTTCCTGTCTTTACTTGTAGTAGTGTACTTGCAGTTGCTAGGTTCTATTGTAGGCAATTGAAATTGAAATCTTTTATTGTTTTGAAAAAGCTTATATTATATGATCATCAACTTTTGCAGTCAGTTGAAGGTTACACATCCTGAGCACATGTTCGTGAAATGTTTGTCTGATGCAGAAGACAGTTTTGAGAGGGCAGTTCAGTCAGTTGCATAAGAAATACATTGCTTGTGTACTTGGTCTAGTATCTAGTTAATTGGTTTTTTTTGTGAACTAAGTCTATTACATTGTTGTTTCTCTTTTAATTATCCCTGATATGGGATCTTCCAACTCCACAGGGACAAGAATCAAATAGCATGTTATGATAGCTTTATGTATGGAACGGCATGAGACTTTTCGAAATTGTTTGTAATTCTATATTTTTTTTTTCACTATGTACTTCTTTCGTTCCAAATTGTTGATACATATAACTAGTTGGTAAGTTTTTTACGCACTTTTTTGGTGTTGTCGACATTACCCTTTTTCTTTTCTCTCCTTCCTCATGAACAGATCTCTCCTCTCAGCCACTGGTCCACAAATTCATACTCCTGATTTAAGCCATTTTATTAAGTATAGCCCACTACTAGGACTTGGTCTATTAGTCTAAAGACAAACCTACATGTAACATGTTCCATGACCAAAACCTTCTCTGTCTAGAATATAGAGAGATGTTCACTCTCTAGTCACTTACTAGAGAAGCAACTTACTACCTCCAGTTTCACATGTCTATTGCGAATCAATCTTTTCATTTTACTCTTCCTAGTTTAAACAAATCTATGCCTTTGCACGAAACACACCAAAGCCTGAATAGAATGGGAATTGCAATTTTCCGGCTTCCGGAACATAGTCCAGAGGATGTGGATAAGTGCAATCTAGCTGTTGTAGCAAAAGTTTTAGATGCAAGGGAGTTTTCTGAAATTCAGTTACAAACATGGGTGGTTAACCTGTGGAAGACGAATAGAGCTGTCATACTGCAAAAGGTGAGTCACTCCAAGTCCTTGTTCTTCTTCTGTACGTCTTGGCAAGACAGGGAAAACCTGATAGCCATGGGGACATCTGCTTACAAGGGAGCACTGGTAGTGTTCAAAGAATGGATTATGGGATCAAGAGTAGAGCAAATGGACTTTACAGAGGCAGCTATATGGGTAAGAGTTGAAGGCCTACCAACAGAAGAGTGCAAACCACAGGTAGCAAGAAGAATTCTAGGCAAGATAAGAAGATTAATAAGACTCGATCATGAATCAGGAGATGACAGACCTCATAGTATCATCAGAGCTAAAGTTGTAATCCCTGTAGAAAAAGCTCTGATCCCTGGGTTTCTATGAGTACTTTGAAATAAAGGCACTATGGATCTTCCTATGGTATGAAGGGGTGTTTACTTTTTGCAATGGCTGTGGCAAGGTTGGACACAGACAACCAGGATGCAAAACACCCCTGCACCTAGCACAAAGGGAGGTGCGCTACAGAATTAGAGGCTTGTGTGGTCCTGGTAATGAATTGTTACTTACTAGATCACTAACTCCTCTGTTCTCGAAAAAAGTCATGGGATTGCAGGATATTGAGAGGTGTAGGACAACAAGGGTGAATCTGAGAGTATATCCCTACCCAAGTCCTACTTCACAATCACCTGAACATACTCCACCTAATGATCATTTGGATAGGGATGGTTAAGAGGATAATCCTTCAGAAAATAATGGGTCAAATAACCAGAGTGGTGGAAGTTCAGAACAGAGTGCACCAACAAGCTCATCATCAAACAACAGCTCCGATGACCAAGACAAACCAGGTCCTAGTAATAGGGTGCAGATTGTGTCGCTGCAGATGGGTATACAACTGCAAGTGAATGCTGAGCCAAGGGATAACCCAGGAAAGAGCAATGTCCAAATGGGAGAAACACCTTCCTGCTCGCAAGAGGAAACCCCAATCTTTGCTTGGAAAGGTGTTACAGGAATCAATTCGATCATCATCCCCGCCTTACAAAAAAGGGCAAACCTTTGGGAAAACTGGATGAAATGTGCTAATCATAAAGATACGATAGCGCTAGTAACTAGGAGATATGTAAGGACATGGTGTGCGAGATCAGGACCTTACACAACCTCAAGCTCGAGGGAGCGATTTAAAAGACGTAAATTGGAGATGGAAACAGAGTCACCTCATCAATCAAATATGTCTGTAAACTGCGAAACTGAAAGGAAGATGTGCAAAAGAAAATCTCCACCAATGGTTAAGCAATGGGAAAGTCAATCTGGAAAGAAGAGATGTGATAACCAGGCCAAAGAAGATACTGAGGAGCAGCATTTACTTAAGGAGGGAGAGGAGAAGAGTCTAGTGAAGGCATGGCCTGAGCTTGAATTTTCCGGTGACCGGAATATGTGGATTGCCGGGGAGAAACTGAGTGATCAAGATACTCTTATTTTCTCAACCATTTTTACAGATTATTTATTAGATGAGACCTCCCTGAATCAGTTGACTAAGACTTTTTCCTTGACCCTGATAGTCAAACAGTCTATGTTAGATGATCAGTCCAATTTTATAAATTTGCCTCCTACTATATAAGCAATTTGCTCTCCTTAACTACCTGGATGAAGAGAGAATTTATGGCAACTACTAATTTGTTCCTCCCTGATATGGGTGCCACAACCACCTGCATTTATGTTAATTCCCTTCCTATCTTCAGTTTAAACTCTCCATATTCCCTTTAATTCTTTCCTTAATTATATAAGAAAACCCCCACCCTTTACGGAGAGCTACCAGTTTTTTAATCCCCACCACTTGTCTTCTTCCTTACCTTTTCAACCTATCAAACCACTTCCAATAATGGAAATGTCTCCTGCTTTGGGTCCCAACAAGGAAATTGAAAGTGATGACACTTTCTACCCTATTTTCTTAGATACTGACCGCATTATCCCCCATAATTGACCCCTCAAGTGATGTTTTCAAGCCAAAGTCAACCCTAACCTCCTTACGGATAGCACAACTGGAGATATCTTTCCCTCATGCAACAATTAACCCTTCTATCCTACTAGGCAATCTTCCAGCAAACTCCCCACCAAAAAACACCCCTGTTCAGAACAAGTTGGAGGACGGGAAGGACTTAGTGCCAGCTTCACATCTATGGCTGAAATTAAAGGGAGTAGCCCATGACTCGGACAACTCTGGCTATTCACAATCCTGGTCGGACGGTGCTTCTGTGAAACAGGGGAATTTTAACTGAAGCGAGTTAGGGTGGAGACGGACAGAGACAATCAGAGTGACAAGAAACTGAAAGCACAACTTGTGTATGAAGGAAAGGGCAAATGGAGGTTTGGCATTGCTGAGGGGGAGGAGGAAGTAAGGACGGAAGGAGGGAAAGGAACTTGGAGGTTTGGGTTAAACTCAGAGGAAAACCTATGGGAGAAGTATTCTAATGCTGTAAGTAACAATGACAACTCTGTCTTGATCAAGTTGTTGAAGGCGAAGGGCGCGGCTGGCTCAGAACAGCTTTCGGGGGGGGGGGGGGGGGAATGAAGTTCCTCTGTTGGAATTGTAGGGGGTTGTGTGATCGTACTGCCCCGATTTTCCCTTTTATTTTTATGCTTTCATCTAGTTATAATGTAGACTTTATCTTCCTCTTGGAAACTAAGTGTAGTGTAAGTAGTTTAGCGCCTTTGTTCCTAAAACGGGGCTTTTCGGATTGTACGGGGTCTGACTCGGTCAATGGTTGTGGTGGTAATTTTTTGTGTTGGTCCCACCGTGTTAACGTAGAAGTAGTAGTAGTAAACCGGCATGTAATCCTTTGTAAGATCTTATCTATAAATGGGTCTATTTCCTATTATGCGTTTGTGTATGGTAGTCAGAACTTAGTTGATAGGGAAATGGTATGGAGCAACCTCTCTTCTTCTCTTCTCCCAATTTTAAACCCGTTAGTGTTGTTGGGAGATTTTAATCAAGTTGAACAATCTTCACAAAAACTTGGAGGAAATCGACAAATACCAGGACTAGCAAACTTTATCAATTGGAAAACACAATTGGGCCTATCTCAAATACTATCTAAAGGTGTCTAGTATACATGGTCAAATAACTAATCCTCTAACCCAATATATGAAACTTTGGATCGGGCCTATGCTAAGAATGAGTGGCGTCTTGCCCACCCGGATGCCATAACTTGGAATTTACCAATTGTGTTTTCGGACCATGGCCCGGTTATCCTGGACCCAGACCCAAGCAAAGTTAAAAGAAGAAGTCCATACCGAATGGATGCCTGGTGTTTAAAGATGAAAGAAGCCCAATCAGTTATTGAAAAGGCCTGGGCTGAAGATGTGGTGGGCTCTTCGATGTTTAGAGCACAAAGAAAGATAAAAGCATGCTTAGGCGAACTATGGTCGTGGTGCATACATCATAAAACAGAAGTGGGCCTAAACTGGAAAGTTCTCCAGTTGGAATTGGAAGCCTCCCAATCTAATAGTGAGAAGTTGGGAATGGAAGAAATTGAAAATAGGAGAGCGGCTTAGCTAACAATGTAGAAAAAATGGTGGTACTGGAGACAAAGAGCGAAGTCAAAGTGGGATGCACTTGGGGATCAAACTTCAAGTTTTTTCTATAAAAGAGTTAAAGAGAGAATGACAAGGTTGGAAATTAAAGTCATCCAAAATGAGCAAGGGGAGTGGTTAATGGATCAGAATTTGATCAAGGAAGAATTTTACAAATACTTTAAGGGGATGTATGAAGGAGGCCCATGTCGGGATTTGGAGGAAATGACAGAAGCCCATGAGTGGTTGGAAGCGCTACCAAAATTAACCCAAAGCCAGGCCTAAAGCTTAACAAGGCCTTTCTCGGAGGAGGAAATCAAAGAAGCAACTTTTGCTCCTCACCCCTTAAATTCCCTTGGCCTAGATGGTGCTCCTTTCTATTTTTCCAAGAGCACTAGGATATTGTGAAAAATGAGGTCATTAAGGGAGTTCAATCCTTCTTTTGCAATGGGCATATGCGGAAGGAAACGAATCAAACTTTTGTGGCCCTAATACCAAAGATGAAAAATCAAACCAAAGTCACAGAGTTTCGACCTATAAGTTTGTGCAACACTCTACAAAATTATCTCCAATGCATGGTTAATCAACTGAAGCCAATCTTACAGACGGTCATTGGTGAGTTTCAAAATGCTTTTGTGCCTGGTAGGAGTATAGTGGACAATTGTTTCATAGCTCTTGAGCTATTGAACTCAGTTAAGAAGAGGAGAAAGGGTGGTAGATTTGAAGCTATCCTGAAAGTAGAACTAAGTAAAGCATATGATCGAGTGCGATGGGACTTTTTACTTATGATCCTGAAGAGTATGAATTTTCCAAATGAATGGATACAATGGATAGAACAATGCATCAAATCTGTGACCTATGGTATCATGATCAATGGACAGGCCACC